TATGTAAAAAGGAGTATTTGTTCGGACCAATCATAATTTTTGAATGGTTTCCAATTTCTGATGGTTTTCCTTTGGGAAGGAACTAGTTTAGTGACATTTTGAAGTTTAAAATATTTTTCTATGGATAAACACAATACCTTGCTGTTAAACATGTTTCCATTGCAATTTTATTATTTCTTAACTTTCAACCATGACCAATGTTCTATGTTGTCTTGAAATATCACATATGTATTCCAGTCATTTGAAAAAGGCATTTAATATGTGACTAAAAAAGAATAAAGACATATTTTTAAGTTTCGTTCTATAAATACATAAACATATTTTGGTACGAGTTAAAAATGTTATCGAACTAAGTGCAAGTTTCAAATATATATAACTTATGAATATTATAAATTAATATTATTTTACCTTAAATATCTATTATCTACGTGCGTTTATCAGTATAAATGCATTTTGTTATGACGGAGATTGTAGCAAACAGTAATACATAACAGTGTACCATAATACTGATACAAATATGAATAATTGAAGCATAAATAAAAATTTAATTGAATCATAGTACAAATATTTAAATGTACAAAATTATCACTTTTGATTCTGCCAAATTACTTCAGTAAAGCGGGTTTAAATAATACATTAATACTGCATTATAGAAGGATCATTATTGACTTGCAAATATTTTTTTGTTCAAGTGAGGTTTTACTAGTAAATAAATCAATAGTATATTATAATTATGTTGTCCTTTTGTTGGTGGTATTGAGACTTCATATCGCAACATATTATATATTTGTAAGTTTAATATGTGTTAAGAAATGTATTCTTGAAAATTCCAAATGATTTCATTACTTTAAAGACGGAGATAATTAATTTTCTAAGAAATTAATGAATTTAAAATAATTGCATAAATTTGTTTTATTTTTAATTTTTAATTATTATTTATGAGTATTCAAAACAATTTCCTTCACAGATATTGATTAATTTTCGATAATATTCTTGTATCGAATTATTTATAAACTTTGACATTGTTAAGAACAAATTATCTTCACTATCTATCGAGGTTGGTAAATATAACAGTTAATATTATTTAACAACAGAAATAAAAGTCTAATTACAAAATATAACATGACATTAAGGTAAAATAATTTAAATTACAAATAAGGAAATTGTATATGATTATTTACATAAGAGCAAGGTGGAACCTAATATGATTTGGTTATAAAAAGTAATTATCGAAAACAGAAATTTGCATATGAATTCAAGTAATTTCCAAGGGGTGTATATTTTAGATAGAGAGAGTTAATGACTTTACAGATAACCTATTCCTCCTAATCACGTCAATTTGTAAACTTTACAAGGAATATAATTAACCATGATTTAAATTTATATTTAAAAAATATGATTACATAAAACAATTTGTAATTCACTAATTGAAGAAAAACCAAAGTATAGTTTTTGTTTTTTAACTTTGTGAACGTAAATTTAAAGTGTTTAAAAAATAAAATATCTTTAATTACAATTGCAAAACAAATTACTATTTTTCCGATGTCTTTCCAACAGCTGCGTGATCTTGTTATAATCTCGTGTCATACAATTTTCATCATATTAGAGCATAACATAGGTTTATTATCCTTAATTAAATAAAAGCAACGCTATCTGGACGATTCTAACCTACAAATGGTATCAAAAATGTTATTAAATTAAGTCATTTATCCTTCTCCTCTGCCCTCACAATATACATATAACAGTGTAATTAGTGGTATCCGATACAGAAAAATTCAATGTTCATCCAAAATTATCATAATAACATATTTTTACTTAAGCTGTCATAGTGTTACTAGAAACTAACAAAATATATCCATACTTTTTTTTTTATTTAAATTTCATGAATGCCAAAATTTTGAATGCCAAAAACTACCATTCAAATGTGTTATACAAATAGGTAGGTATTAGGTAAGTTCTAGGACAACTCATTTTAGAAATCATTAAAATTTTCAATTTCTATAATGAAATGAAATTAATTATAAAAATTCGTTAAACCAATTGAATATAAAAAAAGTTAAAATTTAATTATTAATTATTACGAGTATATCTGTAAATGTAAATAGTAAGTAAATGTAAATGTAAATATTATATTTTTGGCATAAATTTATATTATAATTACTGTCAACATTTCGACAGTAATGTGTTGCTAAAATAAAAAACATATTTTCAGAAACTATGCATAGAATAAGAAAGCATTATTTCTTATAGTAAAATTCTGCATATTTTTTTTTTCATTTTTATATGATTTAATAAAGTTATAATTAGTTTAAATTGTAAACCCATATGTATTTATGTAAAAAAATATTTTTATTTGAGTATTTTATTAATTATTAATTTTTTCAAAAGCCATGGGTATATATACATATAATTTAATCACATGTATTTAAATTTATTTGAAAAATAAATAAATTATGAATTCGTGAGCATACTATTATAAAAATTCAATTTTTGTAGATTTTTATTTATAAAAAATGTTAATTTTGTGTTATAAAATAGTTTCACGTAGTTCACACCAGTTGCGTTATATATATATACTCGTATATACTTTGAGGTGGAATGATATATTTTGTTCATAAGATTTATCGCATTATTAAGAAACCTATTTTGAGCGTAATTCAGTTCACCCGAAAATGGACAAGGTTTTATTAAACTCGTGGGTCAGCTGATATTTCTTCCTACCGGTATTTTCTTTTTTTATCATTATTTTCTCAAAATTATAAATAGAAAATTGAAAATAATACGTTTAAAATAAAGTTTCTATACAATATTCAGTTCTAATTGAATAATTTTATTGAAATCTTTGACCTTTCATATAATCCTTAAAGAGATGATAAAAAAAAAAAAAAACATTTAATATAATATCTAAGAAAATTAACTGCTACCTCATTTTGTATGATAACTTAAATTACCCAAATAATGAAATAAAAAAACAATAAAACCAATAATAAAATCAAAAAATGGCAAAGTATTGGTCTTGTTGAATCGTACCTATTTTTTTTTCAATTTAATTTAAAAAATATAATGCAACAGTTCAACATAAGTTATCATGTACACTGTACTTTATAGGTAAATATAGTATGCTTCATACTATAAGAAAAAGTTAGTTCTTAAGGTTTTGCATTTTTATTAATTTATACTTACATGTTTGAACGCCACTCTCAAAATCATTGATTTATGTTTATCACTATTTTAGATAAAACAAACACAATTCATTTGAAAGCTATTACATATCATTATACATTATTTCATTATTTATTGAAGATTTACATTGATTTATATATAACAATCATTACAGCAGTTTTCAACTAAAAGCATAAAATCCGGACGGGATTTTTTTTTAAACCATATAACTTAAAAGTTTCGGAAAACTCAAGTTTTATACTGAATTTTCAGTTTATTTTGCTATACAAAAACAAAGTAACATAAACACTAAAGAAAAAGCCAATTCTTAAAATACCACGTGCACTATATATACTTTTTGTCCTTACCTTAATTATTTATTATTTATTATTTATTAAAGTTCCTCCAATTTATCTTGGTAGTTTAAATGACTATTAAAAGATAACTCAAGAAAATTATTCTTTTATGTATGCAAAGTATAAATCTCTTAGATCAAGAGATTAGATGGATTTTTATGTGATATGGTGAAGAAATTATTAATTATTTTTAAAATGCTTTCTTATTTATTTGCTATGAATTAAGTTTATTGTTATATAAGATACTATTTCTAACAATATCTTAAATAACATTTATTAGCAAAAGATGTATTACATTATTTCCAACAATAACCTGTATTAAATTAAACATAATATTCGTTTACACTTTTAGTTTTTCGAAGGAAATCCATTGGACTGAGATAGAAAACATTTTTAATTTAAAGTATTTAAGACCTACTCTATTGTTTTCTGAACAAATATTTTTATTTCGTCGATATCCGTATATAGATTGAAAAACAAATACATAGTTTTTCTGTTTTTGAAATTTTTCGTGATTATAAATGTGAGACTTTATTTTTTTTTTTTATTGTTAAGATATTTCCAGTAAAATCTTTGCTGTTCATTAAATATGTTTTGTTTTAAGTGAAATAATTTTCATACAAAAATAAGAATTTCTAACTGCGTATTGTTTTGCACTAGAACGAACTTATTATTTATACTAAAAACTATACTACTTAACAATAGGTAATGCAATAATGAATAGTTGTATAATTTATGCCGAAAAACTTTGGCGAAATTGTAGGACATAAATGCCAAGATAACGCGTGTAATAAAGTAATCATGCAAATGATTTACCATATTGGCACGTCGTGATCGTTCGTTTCTGATTAGCTTGTATTGCTTCAAGTACGTTTCTCAAATAAAAATGTTTCAATCATAACCGAAATTATATATAATTTTGGTTGTAATTAAAATGTTCGAACATTCACCAATGAACATTTCAAATTGTTTAAATAAAAAAATTAAAATCACTTAATTCAAAAAAACGTCAAAAGTAACAATGCTGTAGGATATTGAATATTAAGAATTAGTTTTACAATTGTATAGTCATGATAAATAGTGTACATTGTATATTCATTGATAGTTCTAAATTATTTAAATACGTTGTAGTGATGAACGCTTGTATTGTTTTTTTTTTTGTTTTTAAATAATCAACTACGGTTTTGAATGAACCTCTATACATTGTTACGTTACAGAATGATTCAAATGTTTTAATGTAAAAGTAGTTTACAATAACAGATTCTTCAAACATCGCATTTATTTTAAAGATAGGATTTGAAAAATCTCACGTGGCACAAGCGATCTTAATGCAATTGTATTTTCGAATGCTATTGAACAATATAAATCATCGTGCACTATTACAATTTACGGGTTGAATGAAGTTAAAGTTTATTGAAACCCGTGTGTCAAATGTTTTTTATTTGAATACAATATTATTCTAGAATTTATTTTTAGGTTTGATCAAGTACGAGTCACATTGTTCAATATCACTGCAGAAGAATTTTCAGTGTACCGTCATTCGAACATTACTATTAATTAAAGATCACATTGTATCTCGTTCGTGTCATTTAAGATTTTAAAACGTTCATTGTCGTTTGTTCGACGGAATCGCACAAATACGACCACGTTTCGGACGGACGACGAAATAAAACGCAGTCGGACGCGCACGTTTCTGGCGCGCACCTGCACACAAGTATGTGGTGCACTCGAAAGCGTTGTTAGTCAGAAAATAGTTTATGCATAATCTAACAATAAAGGCACACCAAGGTTGGTCGAAAATTAATTAAGTATTATTAATTCAATCCGGCACTTATTAATTATATCGAACCGTGGCTGAATCATTAAACGGAGGTAAGTCGACAAGTCGGATCCCAAGTCGATGACGTACTCAGACTTGCCGGGTCAAATAGCAGCAACCCGGGGTCTTTTATGCACATTTACGCGACGACGAGTTCTGTGGCGATGTGCGCGCGCCGCGGCGCCACCGGCAAACCTGCGTTCGTCTTGTGCGTGGGGCCGTGGGGTCTATCAGCAGGTCTCGCCGACAGCGATAATATTTATTGAGCTAAATACGTTTCCCGTACACTGTTACCGCGGCGACGATGATTATTATTCCCGTCGCGGTAATAAAACGTGTTTTATCACACGTATAATATTCACATACTTCGCGAACGAACGGCCATAATAAAGCGTTAATGATTTTATTACGGCGTGCACCAGAAGCCGGCGACCCGCGGTTCTTTAGCGTGACCTTGACATCGAGATTTTTTTTTCGCGGTAGACGATTGTAACGTAAGCAATTGAATAGAAACGAAATTGCTCGGTTTGCTTTTTCCCAACTTCCTTATTAGCGGAACAGGGACTTCGAATGAATTGAATTAAGAGAGTAGGTAGTAAATGACGATTAAAAAAAAAAAAGAAGGTTGTTCGTTCATGTGGTTCATTAAACATAGCGGTTGGTACATTTTTAGAAAAACAAATTTTCTCGACGAAAAGTTGCCGACCTAAGCTATATACTAAAACTTGCCATAAGTTCTGTCACACGTTTGAACTGGAATAACTCGAAAAGTAATGATCGTATCAAAACGTTATTTAAACCATCAAAAAGCTGATAAAATTTTCTTTCAGAACATATACTATTTATTCAAAATGGCCCCTTCCAACTTTGTAACACAGCTTCAGACGTTTTGGCCAGTCATCAATCGCTTTACGAATAACTTCAAGTGACATTTTCTTCGCTTCGTTGACAATACTTCTCTTCAAAGTGTCCACATTATGATGACCGCGACAACATACAGCCTCCTCTAATACACTCCACAACTCGTGGTAATAATTGAAAAATAATCATATATATATATATATATATAGGTTATACGACGTATTGAGTAATTTTTTAATTTTTTTCAGGCTTGCGTATAATCGTTTTCTAATTATCAGATAAAGTTTAATGCCAACCACTTTATACTCATATATATACACCAATCAATTTATTATAAAAGTATATATTATGACGCATACTGTAGTACTAACACTTTCAGCGTTTTCAGTTCGTTTGACTTGGAATATACGCTATAAGTATTCTTTCGCTCGAAAGCACAAAACACCGTGTTTGAAACTTTTTGCCACACAGACTTACCTGCCCCTTTACTTCTATTATATAATTGTATAAATATTGAAAGTTAAGATCCTCCGTTACATTATGTACAATACGAATTCGACTATTTTCCATTATTTTTAATGATCATCATACCTTGTAATTTTAAACATTCGTATTTACCCATATTATTTTTTGTAACCTTATAATAATATAATTGCAAAGTTGATACTGTATAAATTTATCAAATAATAATTAAAAATACCCAACAGATGTAAAAGTACAAATGTCTAATTTACCGTTCGCTTTAGATGTTATTTGAAGATAGTAAAATTTGCTTTTACTTTATGTTTTACTTGAATGTTCTTTGTTTTGTTCAGATTGAATTAACTAGTGTAGGTAGTTAAAAACTTTGATTAAAAGTTATCAACAATCTTCATACTCCAAAAGAATTTATAACTGTAATAAGTTTTTATAAGTTGTGCAATAATTTATTTTAATTGAATTGCAGAACTTGAATAAACTTATGGTAAACTTATAGTTTGTCTGTTATTTGTTAAATGTAACTGCTATACAATACATGTTAAACAAAATATGACATGTATTTTTAAATTCATATTTTTATAACCTTTATAAATTTATATTTTTTCAGTGCGGAATATCATAATTTATAAATATAACCGATATTAATAATCTATATAAGCTATTATAGCTAGATGTATGATAAACAATGTAATAATAATACTTTTATTTAAGTACCTTTAACTTATAAGCTATAATCTATATTAATTATCAAATAAATTTTATAAATTATGATCGAGACAGTTATATATATTTTCTAGGGAATGCAATAATATATGCATTTTCGTTCCTAAAAAGTTTTTCTAATAAACTGAAAGCATGCTTCATTAAATTATTATCCTCTATATTACTGAAACAAACTCCGTGTCGTTGATACTAATACTATATGACTACGTACCTACATAAGCCCAAGAGTACTTAATCTATACATTTCAACTAGTTTTATGACAAATATAATTCATTTTGAATATATATATATACGAAGTTCCTGGAGAGTTTTCAAAGCGCGACAATGATCGTTCGAGCGGGTTATGGATAAATACAATTTCATTTCAAATTTGAATGTGAATATTTAATGAGTTATTGAGCTATCGACTTTCGAGTGAACATCAAATGAATATAATAAATATTATTCGCTGATTGAGTACTGATAGAATTTTTATGGTTTTTTACTGCTATTTAAATAAAACAAATTTGTCCTAAAAAGTTTTTCCAGCAGTATATATATGAATTTCTGTGTTAAGTACGATACAATACTAATATTTTAAATGAAAAAGAAGAAAATTCATCTTCGACCTTTTTGGTTTGAAAACAAAATATTTTAAGGCAACAAAAAAAAAATAAATAAAATAAAACTATCTCATTTTTATAAGTAAATATATACGTGTTAAGATAGCTGCAGGTAACACACATATAAATCGGACCAAGGGACTTAACTATTATAGAGTAGGTATATGCCAAATCAGCCAAAATTAGCGAAACAATTTTTATCCATGAAATTGTGTCCACATTATTTAATTATAATAAAAAACTTAATATAAATTCTTTACATCTTTAAGTGAATATTAGCTGTCCACAGAAAAAAACGAAAAATCATTAAAAATATTCAAATGTTACTCTTAATTTAATGAAGATGTTGAATATGTTTTTTAGTTTTAATAGCTAATACGATAGCTAAATTTATATTGAGTATACATTTTACTTCATGGTATATAGTGTATAGTAAAAAAAAACCTATTTAAAACCTGTACTTAATGCTGTTCAATTGAAATAAATTACATCCGAATTAAAAGATATGGGAATAATATTTTTGTCGTATGAAGATTATTTTTTCGAAAGATCATTCGAGTCTTGCGATGTACAAAGACATTTTAATTCATCACCATTAAGATGTCCACAGATATTTCCACTTTTGTTTTTTCTCCGTAAATATTATTTTTTATCCATAATAATACTTAATATTCCGGAAAATATTTATTAAAACTAATTATATATCGATAAACGAAAAATTATTTTTTTTTTTTTGGTAAAAATCAACTTATTTTTCACGATTTAAAATATGTTTATTGTATAACTATAAGAAGTATTACATTGTAATGCAAATATTTACACTCATTAAAGTGAACGTCGGCCACACTTTGAACATATTATATACACTCTATATTTTATGAAAATACAATCTGGAATCGTTTCAAAAATATCAGCACATCATTGAAGATACAGATACAAACGAAAAACGAAAATGTATGTTATATTATATCCATCCAAAAAGCTTTAATTAGTTATTTATATGTACGCGCAAATACAATTATTAATATCATATAATATACATTTACCGTAGTATATACTACACTACAATATGGTTTTAAATCACTAACATTTTTCATTTACGCATGCATAGAAACTTTTGAATAATTTTAACATTACAGTATGGAAATTAAAGCAATAAAGCATAACAGATTTGCAGCATAAAATAATATTAATTTAACAATATGTGGATGAATTGTCTGACCTATATTTGGATGTTATATGTGCATAACGTACAAGTACGAACCTGCCATAGTTGTATTTATTTTATATTTTATTTTGTTGTTTACACTAGCAGTGAACAGTTATTAGTTTTATTTACTCTAATTTTTTAAGTAAAAATTAACTAATGCTATTTTCTGAATTTTGAAATTCGATAATATTTAGCAGGTTTAGCAGTGATAAAAGTTTATATCGGATAGTACTTCGTTTCTACAACTTATTAAATGATCGATAGAAGTAAATAAACTATACATCGTTATACATCGTTGATGTTTTTTTCTAAGAAAATCGTACTATATAATAATTGCTTTCTTATAACCGTAGTTAATACACTTAATGCGTATTATAGGTCAGTGGTCAAAAGTTCGAATAACATTTATCTCAAACTGAAATTATTAATTCAGACGTGTATTATTAAAACACATTACACATTTATTTTGTTTTAGATAAGCAGCATATTTAATTTTATTCTAAGAAGCATATTTTATTATTGTGTTCTTATTAATACATCGGTTATTCGTACGTAATTACATGACTTTGAAAAAAAAAATCTAAAAAAAACGTACACGCTTATGAATAAATAAAAGGCGCTTATTTAATTTTCATTGACTAAAATTGCTCATGTTATTTGAAAACCAACGAGTTAAAATTAAATGTTTCATTTTAAACGTGTTCGGAAAATTGAAGACTATAGTCGCTATAACGATACCTTAGTATAATATTAATATAATAAAACGAATACGAATACGAGGTTTTGTATACAACGGTCGTAATAAAATAAACGCAATGACATTAAATTGACGACGGTATTCCGGGACAATAGTCAATATTCTTTCTCTGCAAACGACCACATTGATTACAATATTGTTCATCGTAGTGTTTAAAATTTATTTACTTTACATATCCGGCCCACTATGTATATGGGTAGCATTTCAAATCCAATACACAAATAAGTTGCATTGTTCGAAGATTTGTGAGATAATATACATTTTTAACGGCTTCTCGTGTACTGTCTTGAGTTGTAATCATTTAACCATTGTTCGTATGAGAGAGGTAAGTCGTACAGAACGTCTTAGGTACGCTAACATAGGTTACCGCATCGATTATATTTCGTTTCAATAAAGTGCATCTGTCCTTATCAAATATTTGTTGAGTTCTAATTGATCACACGCGCATCATTTACGTCGATTCCACTGTAAAACATTAATTACTACGTTAACGGAACATTAATGCACCACATAACGCAGTACACATAATGTTATTATGTAGGGACCATAGTTGGAAAATGTTATCAACGAATTTATATGTTATTCTGCTGTAGTTGATGCTTAAGAAAAGTCTTGAACGAATGAAATGTGTCATTCATGTTTTTTAAATAATATTGAAAAACGTACATAAATATACATTGATAAGATATGAAGAAAAAAGGGGCCACATTGGTTTGTTGTTGTTGTTTTTCAGTTCATGGGTTAGTATTGTATTACTTTCAATATAAGTTTCAGCAAAATCGGTTGTTCCGACAAGCTATATTTTTACACGAGAGGGATTTATCTACATATGATTGAAAAAAATATATATTCGAGTAGCTAAATAAAATATTATAGACCAAGAAGTTATTTTCTCCATACAGAAAAACATGATTCAGACAGCTTTTATTACATTACGTATTACATATATACTGTAACAAACACATCATGTAAATTACATTTGATAATCTTGAACATTAATCGATAATTTTAATGTGAAGCAGTTAAATAACGGTTATAGTGATTATTTTCACTTAATTTGTATTTTGTAGATCTACGATCAACATCAACGAAACATATATTACATAAAAATCATGAGAAGTTTATTTGTACCTTTAAAATAAAAATATACATATACATACAATAGGCACTAATAATAAATTCTAAAAATATTTGAACAGAGGCTAAGATAAGAGTTTCAAAAAATCTGTAATTATGCTGATTGTACGAATTTTTTCTATATGCATTATCTGATACAGAATTATCAATATTAGTATGATCACTCAAGATTATGTCATCGAAGAATTTCATTTTTCTTAATAATATACTAATATCGTTTACTAATATCGAGCAAGTACACTGACAAGTTTCAAAGCTACGGTCATGTTTGATTCGGCTTTATTGCATTAGCTTCGCACGGAATAGTCTTGGCCGAGACATAGTTTTCAATGAATTAGTACCTTACAAGTGCACTATTTATAGTATATTATGGTATAATTGTTGGTTATAAAACAAATTAAATTAAATTTCAAATTAATTGATATGGTAGTCTTGATTGTATGCTGAATTATCCGGCTTTGCATCATGAAACCGTTTTTGCTGAAGCCAATTTTTTTTTAAAATACCTTCTTATTGCACGTTTAGCGTATCGGAGAGACCATTCTGTCAAATTGCAAGTTCATACGATCTGTCTCTTTCAGATGTAGCGATGATCAGTGAGTGAGTGGTATTTGGTTTGTATATAAATAGATTATCAGAGAAATTTCTTATACGGCTTCGCTGTTTAGAACAAAACAAAATACCGGTATTTGTATGTCACAG